CCAGCCACTTGCAAACGTATATCCAAGTCCAGTTTGTTCGAGGATACCTGTGGTGATATCCATGTAACTTACCATATCAGTTGCTTGGGATCACGTCATTTTGTGTACAAGTGATTGTGGAACTAAACTGTAAGGGGCTTAATATAGGAAAATGGTTAAACTATCCTTTGCAGCTGTTGATGGTGACATGAGTTTAGATGATGATTGAGCTAAATTTCTATGTAGTTTATTTTACATGATCTACTCAGGTTCATATACCTCGAGAAAAGCAAACAGATTATGTTCCTCCAGATCTACATTCATCAGAATAATTGCTTACTCGGTAAAATTCTCCTAGTCTCAGTTTTGTGTTTAGGATCTTGACCAGGTTTCTAGTAACTAGTCAATGATGTTTCTCCTATCACTGAGACATAGTCATGGTTGATACAACAAGTGCAAACGATGAATCGTGTCTATACATGACTTTGTGATATAGTCATGATCGTTTGAACCATATCAACTCATGAATGAATAATGTCTCTACATGACATTTAATGTGTGATGCATAGATGGATATTATGGACCCAGCTAGAACTTGTCAGAATAGAGATAATGGAATTAGAAAGAGACTGATGGACTTTGGGAGAACGAGACGATCATTCCTCCTAGGAGAGAAATGATATCACGAGGGGATATATATATATATAATTCATTTTACCTGATTTAGCGCCTTGAGGCCCATGCAGGTTTTTATCGGAAGATACGTACTTTAAGTAGGATAACTCAATTTGACGTTTAGAACACTCACACTCTGATTTCATTTGCAGATACCACTCGGGATTAACCCTTACGGCGTATAACCTCTTCCGTGCATACCAACCACAGGGAAAAGCGTGAAAAACTCATGGCTATCCAAGTGTGCTTTTATCATCCCACAAGCACAATATCACCGCGAGAGAGTGTGGTGTGTGGGTTTGACTGGACTCGAACCAGCTTTCTCCTGTCTCGAATGAGGTAGGTGTTCAAGCTACCCAGTATCTACTTGGGAGAAAGGCCCGGATGGTTTACCACTGCACCATCCAACCCTAAGAGGGGATATTCTAGCACTAGGCTGTGAACAACACGGTAAGTCTGGAGCAAGTTACAAGGAGATCTCAACCTCGGTTCATTCTCTGAACCAAGTTTCCTTTATATAAGAATATAAATGAGAGTCTTACTTACAACGGGAATACACGCGATAGCGACCAACGAGACCTACTGTGAGCATAACTTCCCCAATAGCATCCATCGTCCTTCTCCTATATAGCCTAGTTTTTATAACAATACAAGATGGTCTCCTGAGTGCTTGATAGTTACATCATTCAACGGGTTTTGCCAAGGCTCTTGGACCCCGGCCACATGATGTTCCTCGGGGGTTAGAAAGAGAGAGCTATATTTATTGTACTATTTGACTTTTAGACTAACTAGCATATTGAGCTCCTCTCTGGCCCACGCCACACCTTGTACAGTGCTCACACTCTCTTTTGTTACTTGAAAGATCATTGATGTATTGCGCGTAATGGATAGCCATTCAGCTCAGTATTTACTTGTGGAGTTCAGCCACCTTTTCCACGGCACCTTCTACCCAAAAAAAATGATAGCAATGGAGACTGCGTTCGCGGGAAAAAGTCTCAAATATCCTACAGCCCCGGCCAGGCGAGGCCTCGACACCGGGACCACATGAGGTGCGCATATTCATCTATATCTCCCTTCTTTGTAACAGTCGAGGCCGACTTGATCCAATCCATCATCGCCGTATTGGGTGCTGGGTCCGCTCCGGAAACTCATCGGATGACTTTTCCTCCATGATCAAGGGTTGGTGACGACAAGAGCTCCGACCCTACCATCTGATCTGATCGTGGCTAGCTTCATGATAATAGTGATAGGGGAATATGTTGAGAGATGAAGACGATACAGACCGCGAAAGCGATTGGGAATCCTCTTCGAAGTGAGGACTTTGTTACTCAATCTTGGCTCTGCAGACTCTACAGTGAGAGCTGGAAGCTTGTAGGGGACACCACTGATAGGTGCTGAGAATATTCCCCTGCAGAATAAACCTAGACTGTAGTAGATCAACATATTTTCTTGCAAGAGCAACAAAACAAAGCCACAACGATCCTAACATCTTATCTCTGGTCCCAAAATAGACAATTTCTTACGATGCCGGTAGTATTGACTTGACCAGCGCTCACCTCTATCATTCCAAAATATGTCGAGAACTACAAGAGCCTGGTCACATTGTGTTGAGGCCTGCGACGATTATAGCTTATTCATTCCCAAATTCATATCCGTGGCAAAGCCTCTCCAACATTTTCCACCTTGGACACTGGCATCGTTGGCCTGATCAAGCTTCTTTGTGCTCACTCGCATCGCTGGGCACATGGTGTGGTCTCCGCCCGTGTGTCGAAGACTATGAAGGTGCGCGGCTCTTGGAGTCTGAGCCTACTAGCATCAACCACGGTCTCTCGCCATTTAAGCGAACAGGTATTATGATATGAGGTTAGCTAGCGCTTAAATACTGACTCTGCTACTCGTGTGTAAATGGGGTGTGGTCTATAGATACTTCACCTGTGTATGATTGATTTTTAGTCTTCGTAAAGATGCTTCGCACTCTATTATGTGCTGGAAGATAGAGGGTGTACAGATGAGATAATTGCGTGGTCATTCTTGGTACACTGGAAACGACATCTCAACTCCTCCCTCATGACCCTTGCATATTGTCTATGCAGATGTGCATGAACAATCCTATGCTGTTCCTAGATCATATCAACAGGGCCCTGTGTATCGCGAGCAAGGACCATACATGATCACGTGGCTTCAACGGAAGTTTCTTTTTTTGGTTCTGCCGTTCCTATCTCGGTCGAAGAATATGCGGCTCGAAGAGTGAACCCCGGCCAGCGGTGTTCCCGACTACCCTGAGAGACGAGTATTACCCCATCGTATCCGGTCTTTCAGCTACCTTTCGACATGCAGGAGACGCTGGAAGATGAGGCACATCTAAAGACTAGTCCGTGTCTCGCCTACGGCCACGAAATCGTGTGTATTGCCAAACCCCTAGGACAATAGTTCTCGTTGACCCATGTGGCCAGCAAATATGAACCTACGAAGCTAGGAATTCCCGCCAAACTCAGGCCGCGAGCATCAATATTTTGGAGGAGCATCGTCGATTGGTGGGAAGAGATGCGTGCATAGATGACAATGTTACAGCTGGGAAATTGTAAAGTCTGGGAAGGGCCAGGAATTCAATTTCTGGCCAGCATTCTTTTACACCAAAGAACTGAAGGTGAATCACGAATCTGTTTGCGACAGTGCAGACGATTCAATAAATACAGACTTCTTTGGATTGTTCAGTGATAAACAGTCCTAAAGGGTCTCAAACGGAGTCTGAGTAACTTGGAAACCTTTCCCAATTCAGACAGAAGACCACTACTTTAAATACCATAATTTTCAACCGTAATTCTCGTGTCCCTCGCGCAGGCCTTTTAAGTTTTGCTTGGGATACCAAAGGGATTGAAGCTTTCCTTCCGTGGACGGCTATGGACGAGGCTCAACAGTGTTGTGTAAACAAGCGTACCTTAGCGGTGTTTGCAAATAAAACGCAGAGCATGAGTGTGTATAAAGTCCAGAGCCATCAAACACGTAGATAAAACATTAGCCGTATTCCAAAGTTATACTGCTGCTAACGTAGTAAATAACTTAACTTCCACTTTATACACATAAGCCCTCAATATCAGGTAATTGTCATAGCTAGATAGCTGAATAGAATATTAATCAAAAAATACTCAATATCGAAGCCATAGTGTCCCCACTTGACTTCTCCTTCTCCAGAACTCCCTGTTCTATTCAAGAGAAGGCCGTTAATTTGTAGAAAATGAGAGAAAAAGCTTGCCTGGACTCTGTAGATTTTCATATCATCGTAGGAGACTTAGTGACCTTCAGTTGCCTCTCTGCTGGACCATTGATTCCTAAAAATCAAAGACCATTATTCCTCCTGCCAACTCTGTTCCAAAAGAGGAGAGAGGAAATAGAGGAATAAGCGTTACGTAGAGTCTTGATTCTGTACATGCTAGCCCTCAACCAATTTCATAAAGGTGCATTTGCATTCTGTTGCATCGAGTACCAGACAAATCTTGTAGGCATTTCTTATCGCGATCGCCATGGCTATCGAGCAGAGACTAACAGACATGTGCTATGGCTATTTAATCATGATAGATGAACGCTTGTGTCGTCCCGATAATTAAAAGGCAGATAATTTTGAGTACTTTTGTTGCATCGATATGACCTTGTAAAAAGTCTGTCAAGGTATTGGTTCTGTCTGTAAGTAATTTTTTATAGGCACCTTGATTGATATTTACATCAAGGATTTGGAAAGTTTCACATTGAGTTCATCTTCTGTTACTTAAGATAATACGCAAAGCACCAAGCCATTGATTTATATTGTGAGTTAGCAAAATTAAACTTGTGAGTGGGTACGCAGCATCATATTGACTGCTTCTAATATTACATTAAGTGTCCATACCTACAGTAAAGGACCCGACAATAATCGACCTGAACCCCCATCGTATGATCACGTCTTCTGAGGCTCTTAACCAAGGTACATAATTGATAGCGTTCGTTTAAGCTGTTATGCCAGCAATCTCAGAGAAAAGAGTTTCCGCTAAAAATGGTCCGGGCTCATGTACACCCCATTCCGTCATTCATTCATGAAATATGCTTACATTTATTCCAACCACGACTTAGGTGGATGAAGAGTAAGGTAAGATAAAGTAACCCAAAGGCCAAAGTGACCAACATATCTCGTTTCCTGAGATGTTCCAAACGCTAGACGCCATGCTGAAATTACGTTCGTTTTTGAAGCAAGAAAAATTAGAGAACGAGAACTCTTAGTTCTCATAATAATTGAGATTAAAGATAATAATCATAAGTTTGGTGCGTGGGTTGGCTGTTGCTTGCATGCTTTACCCCGCGATTTTAGACGCGTGTCAAAGAACTTTATTTTCACTATCTCCAGCGACTGTTTGAGATCCTTCAGGGTCTAGACAATCGCCCATAATAGTACTCAGAACTTTGAAATCTACCGGTTTTGTTATGTAGTTGCTAAAGCCAGCTTTATTGCACCTATCAATTACGTCTGTCATAACGTTTGCCGAAAGAGCAATTATAGGCATGGAATTATAGTTTTGTTTTTTTTCCCATTCGCGAATCTCGCGACAGGCTTGATAACCATCTTTATTTGGCATGTGAAGGTCGCACTAATCAAGGTATATTAGCTATGAATTAACAATGAAGAGATATATTTGAGACGTACTAGGACAAGAGAGTAGTATGAGCGTGGTTTGCTAAACACTTTTTCGGTGCATTCCAATCCATCGAGAGCAAGGTCGACAGCTATTCCGACTTTTCCGAGATACTTCAACAGAACTTTTTGGTTTGTTGCGTTGTCTTCAACTAGTAGAACCCGAAGTCCTTTATTTCCAAGCCTTTTCCCAATATCAAGGTAGCTTTGCCTCTGAGTGGCCACTCTCTGCTGAGCAGTAAATCTGTTCCGGTCTGTGCTCAAGTCACGCTCTTTGTCGGGGTCAAAGATAACTGCAAATCGTGATGGTTTGACGGGCTTGAAAATAAAAGTTATCCGGTTTTCCTGTGAGAGTTGGATGTAATCGTGGTGGTTTGACTTCTTCATAACTTCCTGTCTCTGAAGAGGATCTGACAGAATGACAATCGATATTTGCGAGTCTGATTTTTTCAAAATTTGATCAATGAGATGAACAACTTCGTCTGCTGTTCCAAGATTAAGAACAATATGAGTAAAATGAATTGACCCCTCTCCATTAATTAATAGATGTGCGTCTTCGACGCTCGGGAGGGCTTTTATCTCGTGGGGAACATTCTTAGATAAGGTCATTTCTATATGCTGAGTTGTAGCTTCCCGACTATACTTCTGGGGACAGATGAGCAGGATCGAATACATACGTTGGCAGGTATGTTTGATCATAGTTTCACAATTTTGATAAGACTCTAGTTTACTGTGCAGCTTTGGTAGAGATTTGATGTTGTTGGGGGGGGTCGTGCCAGCTTGTATGATAGAGTGATTAACTGGAATAGAAAGCTTGACTTTTGGAAGGAAAGACTTATTTAGTTCTGTTGCCTCACTTTTGCTTTTTGATGTTGCTTCAGTGACGGTTTTGGTGGAATGGCCAGATGATGCGGAAGGGGTTGCGGGATTGGACATGGAGCCCATAGATAAGTTTGATCTCGCTTCAACATTTAAATTACGATTTTGTTCGATATTCACACAGGTATCAGCTTGAATAGAGCTAACTAAAGACGAGGATCTCGTATTGTTTATTGCACCTCTAAGTGGGATATAATTTCCAGAGTTGTTAATATAGGGTAAATTTTCAATAGCTGGAGTCGTAGGAGATACGGGATAATCAACCGATGTCGGGAGGCCGAACACTGAGGTGAAGGTAAATGTGGACCCTTTACCTGGGACAGCTGTTCCCTCCATCTTACCTCCGTGAAGTTCGATTAGCTGACGAGATATCACAAGTCCAAGACCTGTTCCACCTTGTGTGCGAGTACTGCTTGAATCAATCTGGCTGAAAGGCTTGAAGATAATTTCCGCCTCTTCCTGCGTAAAACCTTTGCCAGTATCGGTTATGGAAAATTCGAGCATTACTTCGTGTTCGCCAAGATGTTGGTTACGATCTTTGTTTGACACCATCTTACAGCGCGTAAAAACTTCGCCGACACTGGTAAATTTTATGGCATTTCCAATGACATTTAGAAGTGCTTGCCTAATGCGGAATCTATCACCTTTTACCATCTCTGGAACATCGACATCTACGACGTAGTTAACCTCGAGGTGTTTCGTGATTGCCATGGTTGAAAGAGTCTCGTTTACTTCTTCGACAAGCGATCGGACGTGGAACCAATCAAAGGCTAATTTCATCATTCCCGCATCTGCTTTTGCCAAGTCTAGTATATCGTTTATTATAGCAAGGAGACCCTGAGCACTTGATGAGATGGTATTGCAATAGTCCATTTGCTCTTCGTTGAGCACTGTGTCCTGCAAGAAGCTGATCATCCCTGATATACCAATCAAAGGCGTGCGGATCTCATGAGACATGTTGCTCAAGAATTTACTTTTGGATTCCATTGCTTCCTTGAGCTTCATTTCCAATAGCTTGTGATCGTTGATGTCAGCACAAGCACCAAACCATGAGCCATCTCCAGTCCCAAGATTGATATTCTCGACCTCAACACAACGGACAAGGTGCCATCGATATTCTCCAGTCTTAGACCGAAATCGGACTTCGGTACTGTAGAATACTTGACCGTTACTATCCTTATCAACTTTAATTGCGCTAGATTGAGTTAACCCAGAGATATCTGACAAATGGCTCTCCTGTGAAGACGAACTAGACGAGCTACTGGTTCGAGATAAAGAAGTGCTCCCTGTCATAACTTCAGTGAAATCACATGAAGACTTGTCATCACTGGACATCGGAGATAACAGTCTAGTCTTGTTTGCTAATTTCTTCTGACCCAATTCACGTGAGTCACTAGATTCTTTGATTAGAATTTGGCACTTGGCAATGTCATCCGGGTGGACAAAGTCCATGAAACCAAATCCAACAGAGCTTTCGAGAGACTGACCGGTATATGAGAGCCATTGTTGGTTCGCAAAAGTTACCCCGTCGTCTTCAGTGGCAGAGAAGATTATTTGTGGTATCAAGTTTGCAAGTCGACGATGCTTCGCTTCCGAGGCCTCAATTTCTTCTTGCCGAGCTGCCTTTACTTCAGCTACGTGCTGTTCATGTATATCCATAGATGTTCCATGCCACTGTACGACGACCCCACGACCATCTCTTAGTCCAGAAGCTCTTGTATAAAACCATCGATATGAACCATCGAACCTACGAAGGCGAGCTTGCATTGCAAAGTGTTCACCAGTGCGTAGAGCATGCTTCCATGACTTCAAGTATTCTTTTCGCTCCTCAGGGTGTATACTACCCCAGGGATTTTCGTATAGGTTGTCCACTGTTTGCCCACGGTAACTTAAGTAACGGCTATTAACCCAAACAATTTCTCCGGTAGGGGGTACAGCTATAAAAAGTTGAAGGGGTAGTGAATCAAGTAGGATCCCTTTAACCCGATCAGATGGTGGAGGCATATATTCCGAAGTTGTAAGCTCTGGTATTGAGGTGGAACGATTGTGGGTTTTTAGCTTGGGAGCACGGTTACGAGTGGTTGATGGTAATGGCTGAAACGTCGCTCCAAAATCGGCACCGTAAGAATGAAGTAAAGTGTGTGATACTGATGGTCTATCTGTTCTCGGACAAGCATGATGTAAGACTGACCGGGCTGCGAAGCTCTTGGGGGGTATAGGTTCAGTTGATAAATGACTAAATGAGCTAGTATCCATGACCTCAGGCGTATAGCTGAGCACCTCCTTGGAAATGCCCTGCCGGGACTCAGCATCGGAACTGTTACTAGGTTCCACGAGCACACGCTCCCTGAATATCTGCTCTTGATTATCAAATTTATTGTCCTGATCTGGATGATGACCGTCTGCATCGTAAATTTCCATTTGTATCCTAGCTCCTACAGGAGATAAGTCCTTGGAAACATTTCGTGTCTTGACTGAAGATCCAAAATCAACCTTACTAAGAACGGGTCTAGCTCTGTGGCTAAAATAGCCTTCAACGCCTGCATAGTTCGGACTTTCGGATACCGGGCGCTTATCTTGTAAACCATTACCTCCAGAATCACAAGCTGGTGTGCCAACAAGCGATCCAGCATTACTTCTTGAAAGTCCCGAATAATCGCTTGGACTTGTAAGGCTACCTCCAAGCGAACGTTGCTGTGCCATATCATCCATTGTAGAGCGATGAGTTGACTCCAATAAATATGAGTCCTCTACTGGACGCAGGATGGTACCAGGCACTACTGCTCCGAACCCAACTGTGGATGGTCTCTTACGAGCTAGACCAGCTATCTCAGTCTCTAGATTAGAATAGTGACGACATAGAGAAAAAGTAGTTGCGAGATGAGGTGCTAATAACTCTAGAGAATCACGAAGTTTTGATGGATACGGAATTATTGGTGTCAGTATGGACAAAATGGCAATTGGCATTCTTCTTGGTTTCTTTTCGTGAGAGGGTGACATGCTATCACCGGTAGATTCTTTGGATGGACGATCTTTGACATGTCCTGAAAATCTTGACTTCAGAGCAGACGCATCTAGCCGAAATGATTGGACAGGTTTGGAGAGAAGGGGGTGGAAGAGAGGAATGTGCAATACTGTGCTCGATCTATCGGCGCCTATAATTTCAGGTTGAGGACCTTCAGCATAGTCTGGAGGTGTTTGTTGTGGATTAAAACTTTCTTCATCAACAGCTTGTATATTGGAAAAAAACATGTTCTCGGATGTTTCGACGTGAACGGCAGGCGATGGAGCAGGAGACTGTGACCAGGGAGAAGCTGGAGGTTGCTCGTACTCATCGTAATTTTGTTCTTGTCCTAGTTCACAGTTATTATAACTTCTTACAGGATTATTTTAATAGCTACCCTTATCACAAGCCTGTGTATTGAATACGCTACCCATGCTTCGCTTGCTGGGTCTGTGGCTGTGTAAGGACGAGAATCTTGATCCAATCTCTATTGTTCGGGTCTTCAGCTTTTCGCAGACTGGTGCTTTGGAGGTAGGACATTGCCAACTAGTACCGGTGGTCCTTTCCTCAGACTTCGATGAATCAACGTATGGGTAATCACGAGTCAGTGCGATAACTTTACCCCGTTGCAGGACTCTTAAGACACCCTTATTATCGATCAATGGATCAGTTTCACAGTCAAGAGCTTGGAGGACTGGGAACATGCATCCCGTGGGTTCTCGACTCGACTGCTCAATCCCATCCCATCCCTCTAGTGTCTGGGGTGGGTCAAATTCGAAGTGGTCTTTAAAAGTCTGAAGGTTTATCTGAGCATTCTGAAGAGTACCAGTGCGTGGTGGGGCATCGGGGCGATGGTTTAGTTGGTATTTGTTTCTCGGCATAACATTAGTGGCTGGTAGGGTTGCTTTTCTTGTCGGGGGAGGTTGATTAAACTCATACTTAGAGTCTTCGTAAGCAGTGAATGAATGCCTGTTGGGTAGGTGAGGTCGTGAACTATTTGGTTTGGACAAAACAGGTTGTGGATCACACCTAGAGGCTTTTTCTTCTGATATCCTCGTCGAGGGCTTATTAGCGACGACTTTAGGAGTGTGACGAACTTCAGGTACAGATTTTTTGCTGATGCCTACAAGGCTAGCTACACTAAAAGTAGCTTTTTGACCCCAGGGAACATTTTCAATATCGGTAGAATCTGCAGGAACGGATAAGGTGACTCTTTGAGCGCCGTATGAATTTTTCATGATTTCGATTACTGTGGTCCACCAAGGCTCTAGACCAGGTTCTGATCCAAGCATCAAGGAAAGTTCGTATATGTCGGGAGTCGCATAATTTGAATCCTCTTCGACATCATTTGACCCGGCCGATTGAAGAAAAAACGCTGAGGATGGAGTCACGGTTCCGGATATGAGTGAATCCAGTGGACCTATGGGATATAAATCGGGGTGGTCTTTGGGAGTAGCATAAAGCCGGTTTCTAAAATTAGAATATCCATTGGCGCGAGGCGTAGGGTAGGGAAACGATGATTGATTTGCAGTTACTTCCACGGATGGCGTTCCCTCTTGCCGAAATTGAGTACCTGGTTCGGTGTAGAGAGTCTCTGTATTAAATGATTTGATAGATGGGCATATCTCTTGCCATGTTGGTGGTGACATTTCCTCGAGATGAAGAGATCTTCGTCTGCTGCAATTACTCAATAATGGTTCTTCTTTAGTTCTTGTTCTCCTTTCAGTCGATTGACGATCTAGTTTTCGTCGGCGCTGTTTCAATTGGAGCTTTGTATTCATAGCAAGCCGTAATCGTTCTATTTCTGCGGTGGATGTACCTGAATTAGAGTAGCTTTGGTTAACTAACTTTGTAAGATCTTCACCTGAAGAAGCCTTTGAATTTGAAGTTTTTTGGTGAGACAGTGAGGATGCGCTCGTATCGAAGGGTATCGTCGTTTCCGTGCACGATGACCCTGCTGTGGAATAGTTGCCAGAAGGATCCGACATCAAGCGCTTTGGTCTGACTGAAGCAGGCAAGCTATTGTTCCTTCCATTTTGCGGTGATTTTAGGGCAACTTTTTCGCTGGAACGCTGGCGAGGCGCCTGACTTCGCGAAAGTGATACTGAGGACTTGCGAAGCAGCGTGTGCGATGGCATACTTCGGCTCCAAAGCGGAGCGAAATAATGAAAATATCGGAGTCACGAAGTTTTGTTTCTCAAGACGAGCCGATGGTCATTTCTTTGCTATGAGGTTTAGATTTGGTAATGACGTGAAGATGATGATGGTAATGACGTTGGTGGTGATGATTTTGATGAATCTTGGGATGGGAGGGTTCTGGTGATAAGCCCTCCTGATGATCTCAAGGTCGTTAAACGCGGCTCTTGCTGGTCTGCTCCAAGTGCGGTATGAAATTGGAGGCGGTCTGCAGGGTCCGATGACGTCGATACGAGCACGGCTGCAACACGAACTGGCCCCGATGCACCAGTCGGGATGAGGGGGCAGCTAGGTGTGTGATGGATCTTTCTGGGAGGGGGTATGAGTTGCGAGATTACGGAATTCGAGGATATAGTGGAATTGGGCAGAAGGCGGATAATCCTGGTTGGGGCGAGGGGGCGGGTAGATATATGGGGGAAGAATTTTCAAGGTAAAGCAGGCTAGATATCCAGCCGGTGGGTCTCCATGGTACCCAAAGTCATTCTTTGACGGGGTGGTCACTCACCAGCTGACCAATTTTCATGCAGTTTATACTTTATTCGTACTTGGTTGGTTCGAATCCAAGCATCGCTGGAAATCACGCCAACCGAATCATTCCCCTCATTGAATCTCATCTGATGCTGGACTATGGAGCTGATCGATGGGTTCGTGGTAAATAGGGAGATTTTGATATCCCATCCAGTCCATTGGAATCTAGACTAGCCCTACATTAACGAGTGTTGGAACTAACCAACTTTGAAATGTCATATTTCTTTTCGGAATTTCGGGAACAGTGTGATTTCATACGTTCACTAGACAACTCACCCTAACCAAATCCTCCGACAAGTCTTCAGATCGTAGCCTCATCGCCCCAGAGAACCCAAACAGCTCAAATTGCCAAGACTTATGCTTGTTGGCAAACAACCTCCCGCTTATCAAGCCGGCAGGGCCAATTTCGTTGCCCAGTCGCAGGTGGCACAAGCTAGGCAACACGATAGTTTGTTGTGAAGGGCTCTAAGCAGGAGCACCAACGAAGCACGCAAGGTGACTTCAATGTATCTATTTGTGAATATCATTTGAAACTTGAATTTCCGCGAACTGAAAGGTAACTTGTTCGCCCCGGTCAACAATGATGCACAGCAATAGCGCCCTTGCCGGCCCAGCGCAGCTCATTTGACCGTGATCAAAATAGAGAGAGCGGTACAACTTGGTGTTTGCTTGACTGGGGGTTTGTGCTGCGTTATTAATAATGCCTCAGCGAATCACTGCCATTCTGCCCAATGAGAGCACGTTATGGGTCTGAGAACAGGAGCGTTTAAATTTGGCAAATTCTTTGAATGGAAGTGGCCCGGGATCCTATTTTAATAGGGAATCCCAACGTGCCAGCCGCACCCTGAAATGATCACCTCGACTCTGTGTGTCGCGAGGCTAGACGTAATCCTGAATTTCCACTCGAACGCCGGCCATCAACTTCAGATGGCTGGCTTCATGAGATCTAACAGCGATGACCATGGTACTAAGTATAAAACAAATAAACCGGAATGGGAATTGCACACACACCTGTCTTTCAGTTTACGGCTTTAGTTGTAGTCAAAACGCTGCTATGGTCTCCCACGTATGGAGTACTTGTACAGGCAGATCACCACCCAAGACTTCACCGCGTCGGAAAGAAAGATTAGAGATATGATGCTAATGGGGACAGCCATGGTCGTGACATATTCCTTTTCCTCCGCTCAAGACAGGCTGGAAGTCTCAGATTCCAACGGTGTGCTTCTAGATCTCTTTCCTTCAAGGGTGAATCTGCAGCTTGATAAGCCGCACGGGGGTGTCTATCTCCCCGTGCATCATCTTATCGTCGACATGCGTCTTCACACCAAATTACCAATTTCAATCACCGACTGTCCATTCGCTACAATTATCTGCCGAGGAAAAGCAAGCCTGGAGAGTAATTTCGGGGAGAATATATCGGAGAATCGAATCCTCGCGTCTAGAAGATCACGTTGTGGAGCATACTGTAACTGCATCTTACTCTCCATAGCGGCTGATTAAAGGTCCAATTCTTCTAGAACATGAGGATGAATTGTTGTCGCTACAAGCCCAAAAACTGGCGCACCAGCTAACATAAATCATCGGCACAAGTCTGTAACCCCATCGATTGCTACATTAGAACCAATTTAGAAGATATATCCTGCGATGCGAATTTCGTTGGCCTCGTAGAATCGCACTTCAGTTTGGTATCAATCAAAAGTATGCAGCCACAGGTCTAAAACAAATGATCAGTGCTTCATGCTCATATTAAGTGAATATCTTTATATTAGAGGCATTCAAAGTCTGGATTTCATTCGCAAATACAACTATGAGGTATGTTTGTGTACGCAAACAGTCGACCCTAACAGTGCACTCTAGTTACGCAGCCTGCCATAATAATTATTCCGTAGGAGCCAATGTATAATAATAACGCCAGCCTAAGGCGGTATGATCCGAACTGCTGTCATAAGTAATTGTTCCCATCTTTTTTTCTTCGTATCTCGGGACACGCAGGAGCCCTCGAATACTCTCTAACAACACCACCACTGCCAGTAACAAAAAACTAGAGTTATTCGGACGTCGACACATGGTTTGCACTAAAATAAAAGAACGGTCAGAATAAAAACCCGCCGACTAACAAAGATGTCATTTCCTGCATTTTAGTTATCGAGCCCTCCGGATAGATGCTGTTTGTATAGTTGAAAGTAAATGATTATTATTTAAAAGAATGGAGCAGCCAACGTAACCAAGTATAAAGCTTCTATCCAGAAACTCTTTTTAGACTTCCAATCTGCTCGGTTGGGTGACGAAAGCCTAACGATGCGACCAAGGGCGTGAAACCTCGTTATCATGACCTCTACCCCACAGTTATTTTCTGCCAGTTTCTGACATTTAAGCAGCGCACATGAATTACGAACAATAGCTGGAAGTACGGCTCCAAGCAGAGACTTAGATTGGAACGAGGCTTACGCATTCATAGATTCTAACTCTTTGATTAAAATTAACCTAAATGCAGCAATGTTATGACAATCCGAACGAGTGAGTCGCATAACTGCTCAAACTATACCTTGCATTAGTCATAGATTAGAACGTCATGGTTAATTTTCTTCTGTTATATTTTTTCCCTTTCAGTTAGGGCGCTGAGCTAAGCTCTTTCCACTCTTCACAAGCTAGTCTGTAAGTGGCCCTAACGGAATATTAATTGCAGCTTACTCCTTTACCCGCGTTTGGCTATATGATGAGAGTGAATGATACGCAGATGCAACCTTCACCGTCTCTCGGACCGCACTTAGACGGTCACGCGATGGTGAGCCCGATATCCCGGCGGCTGAACCCGCCATGACGACAGTTTGCTGGACAGGACTACAGGCGGCTGTGATGACACGGGAAGTCAGTGCCATTTCGACCTGGGTGGCACAACGAGCGCGGCGGGCCAATGTAAATCTAGGCATGCATGAGCATAAAGTGCCCGATCAGGTAGTAAGTGTTATTTTCTCAGCCATTTTATCGAGAGGTAAGAGGCAAGGGAATAATATCCTGGACAGCGAGCTGTTAGTTGCTTGTGGGTACCTACTAGGCGTCATACCTTCTAACACGCTCGTATCTGGCAGGGCTTTTTTTGGGGGTTAGAGTTGATTACTGGTCAGAGTGGCTGACACGGAAAATTTGGGCCGGCCGCTGATTTCTTACCCATGTGTTGAATGTCTATATAGGTTATTCAACATGGAGATGGAGGGGAAGTGATATGTAGCTTCAGAACCTCTATCGCAGGTTTAGAGGTCGTAGACCGCGACTCAGCGCAACAAGCATGTTAAGACAGTTAAGCCTTGGTCTAATATATCATGAAAGCCTTAAGCTTTTAATGATCTTCGTAGAAATATGGCACATATCACAATGGATGGTTTGTCGTCTCTTTTCAGTTGAAGGCTAGACTTAGAATTAAACCCAGTACGCTATCAAGATAAGGGTAGCAATGCTTCATGTAGAAGTCCTATCCTCCGCCTCATTCATGAGTCCCACCGCGTAGTAATAACCCACTCATGACTGCATAGGTTCATTAGACTTGAAGTGCTCTTTGTACTTCGTGGTTCCCAGATCCAGCCAACAAAGCAGTGGCCAGTATCGGACGTGTGGTAGCCGCAAAATTTATAATCGGATCTCAAGGAGGCGCTTCCTTCATACCGTCATCGAGACAAACTTCCATTAACATAGCTATCTTTCATGAAGAATCTCATGCCCGGTCAACCAAGCCCTGCAAACTCGTCTGCAACAAAGGGGGACACCCCTGTCTTACTAGCCCTCTCTCATTTGCGCCTCGGATCCAACCGAAGTTCGTCTCAATATGTCCGGAAAGTCTTCAAAAAGTTGATGTGCCGGAATGTAGCCTAGATACTGTACAGCTCTAGGTACTGGAGATAGCGTGGGCTTGATGGCAATAGAAGGCCGTCTAGCAGGGAGGATGGAGATTTTGTTTCAAATCGGGGTCAAAGCTAATGTTCTGAATCTCCCCTAGATGTGGGTCTGCGAGAGATTGCCATTGACATATTTTATCGGCTTCATTCATCGCTCGGTTGCACGCGTCGCACGCACGCACCACTCACAAATCGTGGTAATTCATTAACCAAACTCGAGATAGAAGCAGTTGTATTAATCTATTGTGGCTCGAGCCCTACTTTGAATAACAATCAGGCCTTATCGAACGTGAGGAGACTTTGACCTTTCAATCCCATCTGTAACCCGCGTGCCGATATCATTTCAACCCCGTACCTCCTCTACTAGTAAAGATCAAACTTCGAGCCATTCTAGGCCAGTTAGCACTGTGGTAAAGCAATCGGACCTTAGGTACATATCATCTTAGAGAAAATGTAGCACGTACACCATTTCGGGGAATCCGTGCGCCACAGATTACAATGACATAGTCAGAGGGTGAAAAATT